CATAGAGTAAAAAACAAAATTATATTTTCAAAAGTGCCTTTTGCTTTTAGTAACTAAATTTGTATGTATGAAATAGCAAAGGAACAAACTTGAAGATAATAGTAATAATAATAAACAAGAATGTCTTCTCCCCAGATATCTACACAAATTCTCCTAGGCCCTCTCCCTATTCTATAGCAGGAATTTAAAAAGCTGGTAATGGTTAATTAGACTGTTTCATTATTTGAGCCTTCTATCTCATGGATTGGCTACCAGGGTGGTGTGGCTATCATTACTCAGAATTTTCCCTCACAGTTATGAGCTAATTGCTGCAATTTTTTTTTTATGTTGGCCATCTATGTGTCATTTTTGGAAACATGCTTATTTAGCCTTTTGCCCATCTTTTGATTGGTTATTTGTTTTCTTTTTGTTGAATTGTATGAGAACTTGGATATCAGTCCTTGGTCAGATGTATGTTGTACAAATATTTTCTCCCAGTCACTACAATATCTTTTTGCTTTAGTGATAGTTTACTTCACTCTGCTGAAGCTTTTTAGTTTGATGTAGTACCAATTGTTTATATTCTTTTTTGTTTACTTGCTGTTAGAGATAAGTTACAAATATATCATTGAAGCCTATGTCCCAGCATATATTTGTGTATAGTTTCTTCTGTGTATTCTATGACTTCAGTTTTACCACCTAAGACTTGTAGCAGAGATTAGTGAAAAATTAATTTTTCACAATTGAGAATGGTTTTACTTGTGGGTTTATTATATGTTGCCTTTATTGTGTTGAGGTATGTTTCATCTATACCCATTTTTGTGGGATTTATCATAGGTAGATGTTGAGTCTTGTCAAATATTTCTTGGTGTCTTTTGATATGATCTGATTAGTATCTTTCCTTTTGTTGATATGCTGAATTATATTGATTGATTTTCAGATAATCACAATCATTGTGGCCCTAGAAAAAAATTCAAGTTGGTCATAGTATATGCTTTTCTTTAAAAAAAAAATGCATTATTGGATTTGGTTTCTAAGATTCTATTGCATATTTTTGCATCTATGTTCATTATGGAAATAATTCTGTTTTTTCTGGTTTTGTTTTTTTTTTTTTTTTTTTTTTTTTTTGCATCAGGGAAATAAAGTAGCTTCCTATGTATTTGGAGGATTTCCTTTTTTCTTTTTGGAAGTTTGAAAAGGATAGATATTACTTTATACTTAAAGATTTGGTAGAACTCACAAAGTTAAACCAATTGGTCCTGAACTTTAGTTATTTGGGGGACTACTCAGTATTTTAATGTCCTTGCTATTAATTGGTTTGTTTATGTTTTCTATGTCTTCTTGATTCAGTCTAATATGGTTGTAGATTTCTAAGATAATAAACCATCTTCCATTTTATTCATTTGCTTGTGCAAAAATATTCATAGTAATTTCTTATGGTTATCTGAATTTCTTAGATCTTTGGTGTAATTTCTCTTTTGCACCTGTTCCCATTTGCTTGAGTTTTCCCCCTTTTTTTTCTTTATTGGTCTTTCTAGAAATTTGTCTATTTTGTTTATTCTTTTCAAAAAACCAGTTTTCAGTTTCCTTAATTGTTGTACTGCATTGTTGTACTGATTTCTATTTCAATTTTTCTGTTCTAATTTGTATTATTTTCATTCTCCTATTGGCTTTTATTTTTGCTTGTTCATCTTTTTCCTTAAGTAAAGGGGTATGTTTATTAATTTGATATTTTTCTTGTTTCAAACCATATATACTCTTTCTCCTTTCTAGAAAATCATTCATATTTTCTTGTTTTTGAAGCCAGAAATAATTATGTGACTGGGTTTGCTTTACTAATTTTTTTCCTGGATCATTACAAAAGATAACAGTCTATGTTTTCACTTATAATATAACGTTGTAATAATTTTAAATTATCTGGAACAGTCTTCAGTGTCTAGACAATCAAGCAGAATTGAATCTTGTACCCTTCTGAGCAGTTCTTGAGAGTTATAAATAATATGTGTTCAGTAATTTTAAATAAACATAATCACACATGTACACATTATATCAGTTTTTATCCTTTTATGACCTTCTCATTTTTGGTTGCAATCGCTTTTATAGTATATCACATGACAATTCATAATACATTCCTCATTTTTCCTTACATGAAGGTAAATGAGATGTGTACTATATGTGCCAAGTAAAAATACACTGATCGATTGAGTAATCAAGTAAAAAAAAATGCCTACTTTTAAATTTCAAGTAAGAGCAAATAATTGCTGTTATACCTGTGTTCCCCACAGATAGTTACACTAAAAAAAAATGATTTTTTTAATCTAAAGTTCAAAATTAACTTGGGGTCATTTATTTTTAATTGCTACATTTGGCAACTTTCCCAATAGTTTGATATGTGGAAAATATTTATTTTATTTTAGAGTTTTTGTTTGATTTTCTCTTTTAATTGTTTGTTTTTTCTTTTTTTACTGAGACAATGATGGTTTATAATGCTTTTTATGATGTAGAAGTAGAAGTCCATACCTCTTAAGTGTGAATATTACCATACTTGTGTGTGAATATGGACCTGAGTTGGGTGAATTTTCCTCATTTATTATTATTTGAGCATGTCTTTATTCTTTACTTATTGCCATCTCTTTAGCTCATTCCGAGACAAAAGTAGGGAAAGAGTAATTTTCTCAGTATCTGTAGGCTGCAGTTAATTATTTATGTGATAATTTAATTCAGTTTTCAATTAAGCCTATTTGATGGTATGATTAACTTTTTATTTCTCCAAGCCTCATTTTTTCAAATAGCAATAATTTTCTTATTGATATTTAGAATTGAGACTTCTATGAGTTCTGACTCCTAATTGGAAAGTTGAACTTTTGATAAATTCTACTTTCCCTTTTTTAATGTGTTGTGTTTGTGCCATTCAGTGTTTGAAAATATATATCACTACTGTTTAAAACTATGCTTCTTTATCATATCTGTGAATTTTCAAGATTATAAGATAGTAGAAATTATTTTTGAAATTTACACATAGGTAAACTATACTTTCTGAAAATTGTATCTTATTCTAAAATGCCAAATAAGTCTGTTCTTGAGACATAAAAATTTATAATTTATAATATCAAATGCACCCCACCACAATGTCAGTGCAAGAGCTTCCCTGAAAACTATTTCATCACTTTAAATGACCCAGCTCAAAGAACATTCTGTTCACAGAAATAAAATGTCTTAAAAAGATCAAGTGTGATGAGGCGGCAAGATGGCGACAGAGTAAAGACGCTGAGAGCATTACCCCCAAACACTCATAGGATTTTAAGATTAAAAACAGACAGTAGACTTACATACTGCAAGTCTTAACCCAAATGAGAACACCCTGGATTCACTAGAAGGAAGATAACTGAGGGAAACTCAACGATTGGGGAGCCTCAGTTGGGGATCTCTGATCACTTAGTGCCCTGTGCCCAGAAACCAGGCTGAGCTGCAGAGGGAGACTTAAGGCAGTGCTTTTGCCCCAGCCCTGCTACAGCCCTGGAGATAAACTGAGACAACTCAGCTCAGGAGAGTAAACCACAGGAGAGTAAACCAAATTGCCGGAAAAGACTACAGTTCAGATCCAGGAGAGCCCAGGTGCCCAGACGCTAGGATACATCACAGATGTGTTGCTGTTCTTTGCCCCAGCAGCCCCATAAAGCCCTGGATATAAACTGAGACAATGTAGCTAGGTGAGTGGATCCCAAGCTGCAGGAAGGTGGGAAACAACAACAATAACAAAAAAACTGTTCTGAGTGTGTACTTAGAGCCTGGAGGTGGAGAAGAGGAACCAGCATTAGGGGCACCTGTAAACCTACCCACACCTCCTGGCCCCGTCCCCCCAAAACAGAGAGCTGAGACTAGGCAACATTAGGGCATGGTCAGGTGTTGGTGCCATTTTTAAGGATGGTCAACAAGACTCACAAAGCCCCAGAGGTAAAAGAGGGAAAAAAGAAAAAGAACTGGTTAGACAGGAGTCAACCACAAGCCCAACCCTGGGAAAATGCAACAACTTTAACAATCTTCCAAGGGCACATTGGACATAAAGAAGCCGTAGGAAGTGCCTCAAATGGGGAGACTTGCTAAGGGGTCTACCTGCTTACGGTATCTACCCACAAGGACTGTGGTAAAACCCTGGATTAAAGAGATAAGGTTGGGCTCTGTGAGAGGACCTCAGGCACAGGGGACACACACTGCTCAGGGAGGGACTATTTGGACTAGACACAAAGAGCCCTGAAAGCTCAGAGGGAGGACTGGCAGCCTGCTCAGCTGGGAGGATTTCAGCCCTCTGGCAGCCCCTGCACTCTTGTGGGGAAGGGAAGATCCTGCCCAGACAACAGGGGCCCTAAGACTTGTGAGCCACAATGGCTCACAGTACTTAGAGAGTAAACAAAGCCAGCCACCAACTCAGCCACAGACCCAGCTCCAGGAAGGCCTACAACACTTCTAATACATCATACCCACCACAAGCATAGAGGGAACCTCTCCCCCCCAAACTCTGGCTTGTATCCCAGTTCTATATGCATAACTAAATAAATCTTTCAAAAGGAAAAAAAGTTTAAAAAGAAAAAGAGAGACAATGCTCTATATTAAAAAAAAAAAATTAAATGCCTCAGAAACCTGGCTTTAAGTAATAATATAATTTATTGGATTTGTGTTTTATATTTCCATTCTGCTCTGTTTGTAGAAAGCTAGTACTGAATATTGTTCACATTCACTGGGGAAAAATAAGGACATGGTTCCTTGTCTTTGAACAGAGGGAAAAAATGTTACTCATTTAATATATATATAAACCATCTTAACAGGGCTCATCATACAACATTTAATTTACCTTCCTTGGCTCTTTACTATCTTGAGTTCTCTTCTCAGGTCTGCTATTTGATATTATGTACTTTTTCTCTTTGCTCTTATTTTGGAACTATATTTGATGCATAAAAATAGAAATGAAATCTAACGGGTCTATCTACTTGCTCGCACTGACTGCTGGATTCATGTCACCCCAGGCACTGAAGGAGCAGTATTTGGACATTCTGTTGAGACACCACACATCAGAGCAGAACCTTCTCAAGACCTCAGGTAAATCCTAACTCGTATACCTGTATCATAGTTTCCATCACTGTTAATCACATTTCAAATATAGAGAACCTTTTATAATAGAAAATGTGCTGTTTTCATAAATAAAGAATTGACATACCTTGCCTGCCTACTGACTAAGACAATCAAATATTTAATTAAGAGCAAGAAAAGAATGAGTTTTTGTTCTAACCTACTTTTCCTATTTTTTTCCAAATAAGTATACCATGAGTATAAATATGAATATATCAGAAAAGCAGAGTGTGGAAATAGGGAGTTTTAGAGAAAGCTAAGAGGAAAGCTAATACAAATTAAGAATCCTGGAAAATCTGACATAAAACAACTCTATGCAGGCATGCACAGGCATAAAGAAAGGGGGTGCAGAAAGTGGGAGAAAGTGTCAGGAGTCAGAAAGTATTATTCAGAGGAAAGTACAGAAGCAAATGTAAACAGCAATCAGAAAGGCAGAACTCCATAGCCCTATGGTGGGTTCTTTAGTTTCATATTTCCAATGCAATAAGCTGCTTCCAAACATTTGCTGTTTCTAAAAAGCACAGTTATATACAGGCCCAGGTCCTCACTCACTCCCCATAAGAATGTGAGATGACAACTTGATAGGAAATTTTCCCAAGGTAATCATGGCAGTTGTGATGATACCTTGAAATATTAAAATCAGTAATAGACCCATGGACATTATTTAATAGAAAATATAAGTGAAGTTCTGAGAAAACTAATGTTATATACATACATATATATGTATGATGTTACATAAATATATATATATATGCATGTATATATATTTATATATATGTTGTAATAAGCATTTCACAATGTATATACATTTATCCAATTATTGAATTGTGTAACTTAACTAATAACATCATCATATGCCACTAAAAATGTTTCTTGCAATAGATTTTCAATAAGTAAATTACATTCCAAATGCATTTGCTATACTATGAAAAACAAAGTAGTGAAATTGAAAAATTAAATCATGCAATAAAACTCACATTTAAATCTGAATTAAAATATCAACCTGAGAGATAATAAAAATATTAAGCAATAAACCATTTTATTTCATGAGGGTCAGCAATTTTTCCTCCCATTCAAATGAGTAAGAAAATGTTCAAATAAAAAAAAAAGCTGAAATTGTGTATGTAAAACTTATTTATATTTTTAGGATAGCAAATGATGTACATCTTTATAGCTTTATGACAATGACACAACTTCCTAGAGAACTGTTTCTCACTTTTTGAAGAACATAGGTTCAAACAAACCAGTTACCAGTAACAAGAGAAATCAGTGCTCTTCATCTGATCAAGGTAACAATTATCACTCTCTGTCATGGGTTTAGGAGGTTTAAAGTGGGTTGTAGGCTTATGTGTAGTCCTTTTCTCAGGAATTCTATATTCTGTATGCAATTCATTTTATCCCTCTCCATCTATCATGTTTGAACTCTGCCTCTCCCTTGCTTATCTGTTGTGCAATAGCAGCTAACACTTTATCTCACATTAGAGTGCCTGATAAATAGTTGTTAATTTGAATTACTGAAACTGAGCAAAATTGAATAACAAGCACACTAATCAAATGGAAGTTAAGGAATGTGACACAGGTTGCTATTGCTTTACTAAGAAGCATGTCAATAGCATTGATTCCCATTGTTTTGGGAAGGTGTTTAATGCAGGTACCAGAATTTATAGATTCATTCAGTAAAAAAAATCTAAAATAAGTGAGACCTAAAAGAAAGTTTTTTTACTCCTAACATGTTAGTAATTATGCACTCATATTATGATTTCATTATGAAAAATCTATTGCCAAAAGAGAAATAAGAACTAGCTGCTATTTTAATTACCTTGCTGACAGGTCTTGCAATTCATGTGTATGAATGTGAATTAAATGATAATTAGTATATAGCCTTTCTGGTTTTCATTTTCTAATTATTCATCAATTATTTAAACATGGAGCTAAACTAGTCTTATATGTTAATGCTGAAAGCAGATTAGCAACCCCCAAGATGAGTGTTACTGATCTAAATTCCAAAACTGAAACAGAAACAAAGCACAATAATGATAGGATTATTCAATTATTCATTCATGTACTGAAGATTAAAAGAGTGTCTGAGAAGATCTTTACAAATCTTGCTGACAATTTTCCTTTCAGGGAAATAAAAAGTTCTCTTAGTCTACTAATTCTAATCAACAAGGTAAGACTGGCTGGCTAAAAGCTTAGGATGGTAATTTGAAGAGCAATTAGCTATATTGTCCTTTTTTGTAAAGAATAAAAATCCTTAGAAAGGGACATTTCAGAAAGTTTATTATGTAATATAAACAATATTTTTAAATGGAAATACTATTTCTATTTTTTTTTATTCAACAGATATTTTATGCTGGTTTACTATGTGTTAAGTTCTCTGCTAACTTTCATGGAGGATTATTTATATATCTTAGCACCAGTCCTCTGTAATATATGTGTGACATTATCTCCCTTCTATATATTATAAATATATTTTATGAAGTTAATTTTGAGAGAAACATTTTCATCTTGAAAAAGTATCTTCATCTTGCAGTTACTCAACTTATATTTTAATATGTGTACTAGTTATTGCTTTTTGTGGCCTGAGAAAGCTTTAAAAAACTTTGTTTTTCATTTATGCAGAAATAATGTCTTAGTAGGTGACAACTTTGCACAAAATTAAAATGTCTTTATAAAATTTAATTTACATGTTTGGCCTTCATTGCACTGAATATCAGAAACCAAACACTTATCTACTTAGTTCCCTCCCTTCCCCCAGTTGAATCATTAAGTCAAGGGACTTATGCTGTGCCAAAGCATTAGGTGACTGGCAGCCTCATAATCCAAACGGACATTTGCCAAGGAGTTCTCATTCATATCTCTACTTGGTCTTCACATGTGATCATGATCTTTGAGGTTCTTTTGATATCTGTCATCAGTTACCATCAGGCATCACTATTACCAACTCTCAACTAAATAATCAACATCCTACCATCTTGAAGTTAGCCTTGGGTAGCAGAACACAGAGAACCACTTGAAATGAATTTTGTTGATTTCTCACCATATCCTTCTCCTACAAATCAAGAAAATAGATCTCTAACAATGGGGGTATACAACAAATTGTCACTGATTTTGGTATATGTGCTTAATCATTTTCAACACATTAAATTATTATTTTTTATCTCAAAATGTTTATAAATCTAGAAGACTCAAAATCATTTTCAGCAGCTTCCCTTTCTACCACCCACCATTTGTGACAAAGGATACTGCTTAGGGAGTAGGGTCACAAAAAGTATAATGAAATGGGATAGGAGGAAGTTCTGTTATATCTCAAAGTACTCTTCTACCACATACACATTTCCCTTAATTCTTTAAAGAAACTTTTTATCCCATAAGAAAACATTATAATTATCTATTTAGAGATGATCAAGTGAGACATTGCTATTCTCTAACTTGCCCAAACCAAGACCTACTAAGCGTTCAAAATTTATCCACTTTTTGAATGGGAGTTCTCCAAGTCATTGTTAGCAAAGTGCTCTGCTGCCTGGTTACATGACAATGGAGATAACTCACCTACAAAATCAAGATAGCAAAAAAAAATTATCATTAAGTAGTTAATAAAAATAAATAAGGAAAAAAGTGCCTATGCCACACATGGTATAAAAATAAAACAAAATTGTACACATTTTAAATGATTATTTTACTATGAAATATGTGAGTATTAATTCCAAATCTTATCCTTGGAAATAAACTCAAACAAGTCAGATATTTGATTTTTTTTTTCTTCAGACAGCCTCCCTCCCTCCCTCCGCCCCTCCCTTCCTCCCTTCCTTTCTTCTTCCCATCCTCCTTTCCTTCTTCCTCTTTATCTTTTCTTTCTTGTTTTCTTTCTTTCATCTGCCTTTTTTATATATTGTTGAATTTTTATAGGGCTATCATTGGTTTACAACACTGTAAAATTTTGAAGAACACAGTCTGCCACCTTGGTGTATATGCACATATATTCACACCACACTCATCACCCGATTTTAGTGACTCTATTGCCACCCAGCTGACTCCCTCCTCCATTCAGTTCATCCCCTTCCCATCTAGTAACCAACAACTTTGTTGTCAGACTCTAAGGGTTTGTTTTTGGTTATTTTTGTTGGTTCATTTGTTTTGTTTTGTTGTGTTTTACATATGACTAAAGTCCTAAGGTACTTGTATTTTTCTCTTTGACATACCCCACTTATTCTAATTGACTTATAATCCATTCATATTGTCACAGATGCCAAGATTTTATCTTTTTATGGTTGAATAATATGTCATTGTATATATGTACTACATCATTTTTAAACCATTTTCCTATCAGTGGGCACTTAGGTTGCTTCCATATCTTTGGTCTTATGTTCCTATGTATATAGGACTGAACACATCTTTGCAAGTAATGCTTATATTTCTTTGGATAGATAATTAGAAGTGGAATTCAGGCTCATGTGGTAATTCTATTTTAAAAATTTAAATGTGCTTTTTCCTCACATTTATAAATAACACTGAGTTATGTGTCTTTATATGTTGATTCATATTGTTTTAGGACATTAATCATCAATTTTTACATGAATATTTCCATCTTATCCAAATTATATAATTACAATTAATATTATGAATAACTGAAAAATGGAAACAGTTATGACCAATATATATACTATTCAGAAAATTCAAAATAGTATATGTTTGGGGTGTTTTTAAAGAAATGAATTATAAAGCAAACATTGTTACATGCAAATTTGAAATTTAGATACCATATACTGTGCAAGTATACGATATATGAATGGAAAAAATAATTGAGCCCATTTTTTTTCCAAGTTTTCAAATATTCTAGTAAAGTGTGTGGATTTTGTTTAAAAAAATACAGCATTTCTTTTAAAAATATATATTCACTGTGTTGATACACAGGTGAATTGGTGGTGGGGATTTCTTGGAGACCACACATGAGATGATAAAGCATACAGTGTATGAAAATGAAGAATGATGTAAAAACAATACATAACATAAAAAAAAATTATTCATCAAAACCTGACCCTTTCAAGGGTTTTATGAGGATGTGCAAGACGAAAATTTCAAAATTGTTTTGGTGAGTGAAAAAAAATTTTAAAGTGTGAAGTCACTATTTCAACTGGTTCAACTCCTTTAATATCACTTTCAAGTCTCTTAAGTTCAACTTCACTACAAAAGAAGCTGATCCCTGGGTTCTCTCTCTGCAAAACAGTTCTGAAACTCTTTCCTTGAAAGAAAGACATTGCTCTGAGATGGTGAATATGAGCCTGAGGGAAATTTTGTCCTAAAGTCCTGTGCTCACAGAGAACATAGGCAAGCATTGTTCCGGAGAAGAGTGCTTTCTCAAGGACACCCTCTCTTCACACACAAGTGATTTCTGTGACTATATTTTAGTCTAGGTCTGTATTTTGCCCTCTTATCTTGTTTTATATTTGATGATAATTTAAAAGTCACCTCCCAACTATATATATTTTTTATAGGCACAGATATCTAAAACACTTGCTTTTAACCTTAAAATATATGTAATCAACCTTTACCCACATATGTACTTGTGAATCACCCAGTTTTCAGACTGATGTCACTTGTTCTCTGCACATTTTCCTGAAAAGGAGAAGTCAGTTGATACAGAAATGTATTCCTTATGGTTAACTAACTTCTAGAAGTATAAAGATTAATTTGAAACTTTTCAAGTTCATAAAACTTAACACACTTGAAAGGCCCTAATATTAATGATTTTCATTAAGACTCATCTTTGCAAAATAAGGAGTCTGTAGAAAGATTCTTTCATGACAAGTTTGTAGAAATTTATTTATTAAAACTACATCATTAATATTGAAAATATATAAAAGATTTAAACAAGTAAATTTATCATGACCTACTTTTCATGTGCAGTGCAAAGGGAAATGACAAGAAATTTATTAAATCACTATGTAAATGAGAGTAAATAATTGATGTTAACAAATGAAGAGTTTCCTATAGAGCAAAAAAATAAATAAGGCAAACAAAAATCATTCTAAAATTCCATTTTGTTTTTTCTTGATATTGTATTTTAGTCGGTGATAATTTTTCCCTTTTCTATTAATGATTCTTTTGTTTTTCTCTTAGACTCGAGTCACCAACCAGGTCCTTGATAATGGAAGCTCCTCGAGGGGTTCAGGTGAGTGCTGCTGCAGGAGACTTCAAGGCCAGCTGTAGGAAGGAGCTCCATTTGCAGTCCACAGAGGGGGAGGTGAGTTCTAAGGGGTACAGACTGATCATCTACTGCTGAGGAGGCTTCTTCTGAAGTTACATGCATGTGGTTCCATGAAAATTTAAAGAACTACTTTAAAACAAAGCTTAAATTATGAGACTAGTAAAACTTCTTGATTATAAAATTTGATAAAACTTACTCTCCGGTGAAAACTCCATTTTGATTCTACTGAAAGACATTCATTCTAAGTTACAAATCGAAATTCTTGTAGTTTCAAAATTGGCAGATACACATAATGAAGTTGAAAATAATTTCAAGCATGAAGGCAATTATTTTTGTCATTCTGTTCTTTTTTGGTGTTCAAAAGTACTTCGGATATTTCTTTCTTTTTAGAGAAGTGATACCTCTATTTTTCAAAAGAAAAAAATATAACAAAAACTTTTATCAGGAGTTACACATTAAAATTATTTTTCTATGTCAGTTTCCTCCACGAATCTCCCCTTTAAAGTATCAGCTGGGGCCTCCCTGGTGACCTAGTTTTTAAGTGTCAGCACTACTACCACTATGGTTGAGTTCAATCCTCTCCCCACCACCCCACGCAGGGAGCTGACCAACATGGCACAGCAGACTTCTTCTGTCACATCTGCTGCTTCTCTCAACATTGTATTTCAGTAGATCTGCCTGTTCTACTCCCTACTCTGTCTCTAGTGAATCTTCTCACCACCCTACACCTCTGGCCTTTAGCCAAGTTCTTCTATTCATATCTAAATAAATCTATAGAAAATAAAATATCTGCTTTTCCTCATACCAGATGTAAAGGGGATATGAGGGACTGTGATGAGGAACATTTTTAATAGAAAATTGAATTTCCTAGTTATAAGGATATAAAATCAGCATTAATTTTGCAATGCAAAGAAAGAACTAAAAAAAAGTAAACTCATATAAAATGGAATTTAAAAAAAAATAAACAATCCTTTATAAGTTTTCTACCTTTTACTATAATGTGAATGGCATATATGGAATTTATTTACCTTATTTGCTACATATATAGTGATTTTGACTTCAGCATCACATTTTTGTTGGTTCTGGAAATTTCCCAAAATTATATTTCATGTATTGAGTCTCGCAATTTTCTCTATGGCTTTTTTCTTTTTTTTTTTTAAATACTGTAGAAATGCCTTCATCTTCTTACCCTTTAGACCTTTTAGCCTCTGATTTCTAGTTCTATCTTACTGTCTCTCAGTGCTCACTCTCACATGTTATTCATAACTACATGTCCAGGTTTTGCTATAGTATGTAATATCTTATTTAATCCCTACACTGACCTTTTAATTTTAGTAATTGGGTTGTTTGTCTCTAGGACTTTTATCTACTATTTTCAATACTTGAACTGCTACGTAATTACACTTTTGTTTGTTAGTTTTAAAATATCATTTGAGGTTTCAGTTGACCTACTACTACTACGGCTTGATTACCACTTCCTTAATTATTTCAAGTTCTTATATATAACATAATTCTATTCCATGTATTTTTTAAAAAGATTTATTTACTTATTTATGTAAGAACTGGGGTACAGGTCAGAGGTACAGGGGCAGCGAGAGGATTCACTAGAGACAGAGTGGGGAGCAGAACAGGCAGATCTACTGAAATATACTAAGGGGACCAGCAGGCATGACAGAAGTCTGCATACCATGTGGGTCTCTTCCCTCGCCAGGTCTAGAACTCAAGCAGCATTGGCTTTGGACAACTTCACAGTGCTGTGCTTTAACCCATTGTGCCACCAGGGTGGCCCCCATGTATTTTTAATACATTCCCAAAGTCCTTAAAAGCCTAAATCTGTTGTAGTGCTGTTTATACCAGTTAATTCCCTTAGGATTTCTCTTTAATGCATTTATTTTTCTTTATGAACTCACAAGGATCAAGTTGAGAAGAACTGAAAGATAATTTTAGAAGCTATTCTGAAATAGAGCATACCTCCCCTGACATTGGAATGAGAGTATAAGTAGAATAAAAAGGAAGATGTTACCTTTTATGTTTATGTTATCTGAATTGTTGATTCAAGATAAATTTATTTATATTTATCATTTCTTTTTTTATAAGCATATTTACTGGCCTATAAACATTAGAGGATGTATATGTGTGTTTATGTATATCCATATTACATTTCAGAAATTCTTTTCACTACAGCTCCAGATCAGAATACTTTGTCTACCACAGCAAGACAGAAAGATATCTTAAATATCTTACATTGTTTTAAAAAGTGGCTTTTATTATGCTAATCATTTCATTCAAATATTCATAATGAATCCTTCCATAATAAATAGTGGTGGTTATTAATCTTTTGTCTGCTCCTATTATGCACCCCTTGCTTACTTTCTTTTATTCAGTATATCAGCAGAACCCTTGGATTCAATTACAGGTTATAATTTAGTTGTAAATTGAGTATTGTGCTATAAATAAATCATAACTAGACATGTTCAGCCATGGTCATTTTTTATATTAATAAAATAAATAAAGATAAAGAAAAGTGCAGCACTTTATATTAGAACAATAGCATGTAATTTCCTAGGAAGAAGTGTGAAATGGTATAAAATCTTTTTCTTTGCTTCATCAACTATGCCATAGACAAGCAGATTGATCATTTACCAAATAATATAGAAAGCTAAAAAGTTCTGCTTCTTAGATTTTAAATGTTTAATATCAGAGCAGACACATTATTGAGATAACCCAAGTAAGAAATAAAAAGTATAAGAATGAAATTGAGACAAATCCTGCACTGTAAAAGATTCAGTAACTTCAGAAACAGAATTAATAGAAATTTAAAGTTCATCTCTGAAGACAACAGCAATCATAATTATAGGTGGAACATCACAAGTATTCACTATAGCATATAAAAGGCAATAATGGAATAAGAGGTAGGTGATAAGATCAAAGAGAAAGAAAAAAGTGGTTTTTATTTTTAGATTAATTAAATGTTTCTGTCTGTCAGATCTGCCAGATTTCAACAGGTCAGAATCAGATATGTAAATTTTTTTAGTGGAAGCAAGACAGTGAAATGCAAATTAAAAGCTCAAAATTATGATTTCATGAGGACTGGGAAGAGTTTCAGAGCAAATGGATTATGCCATTTATACGGCAATATAGATGAGAGATGCCGATTTTAGAAGTTAGAAAGTGAACAGTATAATAACTGCAAGCAGAACAGAGAGGAGAGGGACAGGGCAAATCCATCTATGCTGCAGAAGCCTACAGCAAAGTTGGGTTTGGAAGAATTAATATAGAACATCTATTTTAACCACATGTCTTATTTTTTCACATTAAGCCAAGAAAATAGAATTTTCTCTTTGTAAAGGGCTCATTCATTAATTTTTACTAACAAAATCTATCTCTCTTATAATGATGAAACTATAGTTTGCATCTCAGAAGTTTATGGAGTTAATTATTGTTACATAGTTAAATGCTGTCTAAAGTAGTCCCTACATAAATGGGAGGACCCTCCCCAGTGGCACAAAGGGTTAAAGTCCAGCACTATGAAGCTTGCAGCAGCCCACTTCAGCAGGAGTTCAATCTGGCCAAGGAGATGACCCACATGTAGCAGAAGACCTTCCTTGTCTCACACGCTGATCCCCGCAGCAATGCACTTCATCAATCTGCCTGTTCTGCTCTCCAATCTGCTGCCGGTGAATCCTTTTACTACCCCTGCACCTCTGGCCTGTACCTCAGTTCTGGATGCATAAATAAATAAATCTAAAAAAAAGTAATAAATGGAGGAACTGGAGGACACACCAGCTGCCACACACCTTAAGGCCTAATATTTCACAGCTAACTCTGTTGATGAGCGCACCACAACTGTGCTTGCGTTCCAAGGCTGACATCCACATGCCCCACCTCTATAAAACACTGTTCACACCTGTATGAAACTCTTCTCCATAGTTAATCACTCAGGCTACACCAATGGAAAGACAGTCAGTTCCGTAACTATCAAAATAAGTGATATGGCATGATGATAAGCCACAGGGATGGGACAGTAATATTTATTTATAATCTTACTAATCAGTACATCATTTGCAGTATTTTACCTTCCTATGATCAGTGCTTCATGAACCTTCTTTCCACATGTGCTTTACAATTTTGTACCATTCTTTATCATCTGTGTCTCAAGGCTTGTTGGTCAAAATGCAAGCTCCTAATATTTCTTCAGAGTGACCTCTTCTCCAGATATACAGAGTTGAATCCCACAGACCTAAAGTTTTCCCCTGTAATAATTTGGTATTTGGAAAGACACAATTATATTTGATCTCTGAAATTATTCTAGCTCCTGAATAAGAAGCAAAGAAAGCAGAGTGAGTTATGTAAGTTCCATCCCTCTCTCTGACTCAGCCAGTGAGAGGAGTCTTCCCTCCTCCTCTATGCAAAAGTGAAAGGTTGAGTGTGTAACAGTGTGTGTTGGCCTCATTGATGTCTCCCATCCCGGAACCAGAGAACCAGAGGTGCGATGCAAAATCGACGCCCCAAAAAATATATAGCTACTTTCTTTTGTCTAATTTTGTGCATTTAAAATATTCATGTAGGAACAAAAATCTCAAAAATTAGAAAACATTTTTATCTTTATTTGCTTCCCTCTCCCTTCAGCCAATTATAATTGTGGGGTAATCAATTTCAACATTTAATGTCTACAAATAAATGCTTTGATCCTGTTTTCATGACTTCTAATGCTATTGGCAAATGCAATCACTCATTTATTTTTTATTCAATTATTTATTCATAAATTCTTTGTATTATGTGGAATCCCTATGTACAAACTCAATCTATAAAAGTATAAAAAAATCAATTGAGTCTACCTTTGAGGACATGTTTAGTGGAGAAAGTAATATACAAATATGACTATTAAAAACATGTCAAGCTATCAGCAAAATAAAATAGTAACAATAGTGAATTGCTATGGAAGAACCAAATAAGCAGAGTCTTTTGAAATTGGAATATCAGGTAAAAGGGGAGGAAAAAACAGATGAACTGGGATATTGTGGAGGGGAGAGACCTGTCCAAAGTGAAAGAAGTATGTTATGTCACATAACATGCATGGACACAATACTGTGACCTTGAGCCAAAGACAGGTCCTGCCCATATGCATCTTATTTGCAAATAAGTAAATCAGGAATAAATTAATGAATATATACCTAGTATTATGTTAGGAAGAGATTAATACAGAGAAAAGTGAAACTATTCAGGGTAGATTAATAATATTATTATAGGCTTTAATGCTGTGATTTAATAAAATCAATCATTTTAATACTAAGTGATTCTCAAAAATATTTATGTGAAATTGATTTTTTCTTTATAATAACTTATTTTTGTCATTATTTTTTAAATTTTTACAAAAATAATTTGTGATTTCTTAATATAAATAATATAGGTATATAACAATTCAATAAAGAATGATTAGGGAAGCCCTTTCAATAATGATGACCTTTTAATACATATCTAAACAAACATGCTTATTAACCTAAGATATGCATGTGTGCAGTATGTGAATCCTTTTCCTGGCTTATTGGCAACATGCAACAGATTCCTGTGTCTCAAAAACTGAGATGTATTTAAAAGTGAACAGTGAAAATTATTTCCCTCCTATCCCTGTTGTCTAACTGTCCAGGCAATATCTCCTCCACCTGTATCTTGCAATAAGTACTTGGCCTAAAGAAATACGGAGTTAAGGAAGTCAAAAGCCAGAGTTTTGGGGTATGTTTGAGAAAAGCAATAGAGGCAAGAAGAATTATGGGAAATGATAGAATGATGGCCAAATCATATAGGACCTGTGAGTCATGGAAAGGGATTAAGATTTGGTTTAAATGTAGTATGAGGCCCTCCCTGGTGGTACAGCAGGTTAAAGCACAGCACTAAGAAGCTAAAGCCACTTCCACATGAGTTTGATCCCCACCCTGGAGGTGACCACATTGCACAGCAGACCTCTCCTGACCCGCCCGCTGCTCTGCTTGGCATTGTACTTCATCAGTCTGTTCTGCTCCCCACTCTGTCTCTGGTGAATCCTCTCACTGCCCCTGCATCTCTGGCCTGTACCCCAGTTCTGTATGCACAAATAAATAAATCTTAAAAAAAAAGAATTTATTAAAAAATAAAATAAATAATAAATGTAGTATGATACCATTAGAGATTTTTGAGCACTGGCAACCACAATTTGATTTCCACTTAAAATTTCACACTAGTAGTAATGTAAAACAGACTATAAAAACACAATAGCACCTAGGAGGTAAAGAGAAGAACTGTTGCAGGATTCCTATTAAGAAATGAATTGGACTTGGATGAGGATACATATGTAGAAAATGGAATACTCTGATTCTTCCATGTAATGATGTCTTTTGGCAGTAACCAGCTACATAGCAATATAATAATCAGTGACAAGTGAAAGTTCTTTCTTTGCTCATTCAAACTCATATCCAATTTCGTTTTCCCTTTGGAACTTTCCCCATGCATATCATTATATGTAGTGACTGTCTCTGAAAAATATTGAGTTATTTTGTTGTTAGAAGAACTAGCAAAACCAACGCAGAGTCTAGGTAATCTGTTTTGTAGGTTTTTCAAACCTGATTATATGAGTCACTCATTGTGTAAATTACTTGCTCAGTATATCCTTCAGAGTGACTCAACTTGGTTTTATGAGTATTTAAAAATTATAAACCAGGGAGTTATTTGTTTACTTAATTGCCTATCCTTTTAGTAATGTCATCTCCATAAGCATGTTTATTTCTTTGTTTATTCTTTGGTCTAGGAGTTTTAAGAAATTAAATTGAGAGACTGTCAAAATCATTAATTTTCTGTGGTTTTTGAATAACTGAGTTGACCCCTTAAGCAGATTGCACACTGTTGCTCCTAAGATGGAGGGCTCTCTGACAGAATGCATCATTTCTCAAAGGAGAAGATAGCTGCAGAGCTTTTGGGCTATACTGTGGGGAATGTAATTTGTTTGTTCAACAAAGCATGGCAGCTAAGCCAATAAGATTGTGTGCTGTGTAGTCTTCTTTATTAGACCATGTTGTAAAGCTCTGAGGAATATAGAATGCTAAAATGAATTAAAATGCAATTTCTTTTCTCCCTAGATATTTTTGAATGCAGAAACAATCCGGCTGGGAAATCTACCGACTGGCTCTTTTTCATCTTCATCTAGCTCCTCAAATCCTCGACAGACAGTGTATGAACTGTGTGTCTGCCCCAATGGCAAACTTTACCTTTCTCCAGCAGGAGTAGGTTCCACTTGTCAGTCCAGTAGCAACATCTGCTTGTGGAGCTGAAGTGACTGATTTCTCCTCACACCAGAATAGCCTTTTGTTCCTGTCCGTCTGCTTCACAGTTCTGCTCGGTTTCCCTTGTGATCAGTTCAGAGCTTCTTCAAATGGTCCACAGAGCAACTTCTTCCAGTGTAAGCAGGGATTCAGTGCCACTTCTCTTGAGACATACTGTACCACTCAACATAAAGCGTGTGAGTGACAGAGCAGTGGACAAATCATCTTCAGCAGGAAAACTGGATCATAACTTTTGCTCAAAAGGGAGAATAACATAGGTGCCTTTGCTACATGAAGTGAAGCACACAGTTTTAGATTTTTGCAGGACCTGGATATGAACTGCACATAGATACATTACTTAGATGAATTTCCCGGTATCCAATGGCAAGATGAAATGGTTAACCCTGTAAGAAAACTAATTCTACAGTTTGAAAGCACAATTTTCCATTCATCTTTTTGGATGTAAACTTTTATCCCTAAATTTTAAATTTTTGAAGCATTATGTAATGCTTGCTTTACTAAAAATTCAATTCAATACCTGGTTTTTAACAAAACAAAACAATACAGAATCCCACCCTGAGTTTTGTTTCTTTAAAATCAATGTGTTGTTACTCTTTGTCTACTAAGTCTAGAATTTTGTATGTTAGGTAATTTTGAAAGCACTCAGCAATATAATCTTTACAGAACTAACAAAACGCCATGATGTCATTTGTCAGATCTGAATGGCCTTATATAGTATTAGTTGGCTACTGCATGTGACATATTTGCTTTTAAAAAACATCTAATTTATTGCAATATAAGGTAGGATTCAGAGGGCAATACTGTTGGTGTGGTATCCATAATTTTTGTGTTTGTCTTTTTTGTCTTTTTTTTTTTTTCCAGTTCACATGCTATCCTTTCCACAGTATAATTTTTGTTTGCACCATTCTTGACTCTGACTGCTAAAATTCAAACATCTTCTAAATAAATACTAATGTGATGCATAAGGCTGGGAATGGATTCACTTTCCATTGGAATTTCATCTTCAGATTTATATCTATGTATTTTTACTGGAGGTTAGGATTGAAGATTAGAAATTAAATGAAAATCCCTAGTTAAGAGTAAAAAACACAAGTGTTGACAAACTTTAAAAATGTTTTACTCCATTAGATTCACATTTAAGGAATTAATTGCATTTCCTTTAATCTCTTAACATTTACTTTAATTAGACTGTTAAGATAATCTTACATCAAAAATAATAGTTCTTCCTGTTATCCACTGTTCTATGTTCATAAATTAACTCCTAATAACTATTATATTACTGTAGATTTGTTTATCACAACTCTCCTTAACTACAATTCTTGAAATTTAGAGAGCCCAGGAACATAACACTGTATTAAATATTTCCTCTTATGAGAAAAGAACTTGATTACTCTAAGGTAAGTTCTTAAGGTCCATGTGTCAATCATTTTTCCCCCATGCACACTCTTTGCAGATGTGTGGAGCTTCATTTTGTGGATCCGTGACTGCAGAACTTTTGGAGATCAGGCCTCTACAGCACAAGCTGAAGTGAGAAATTGAAATTGTTGAAGTAATTTGGCTAGTGAAAGCTGGAAAATTGAGTAATATAAGTGAACTGTTTGGGCAGAATTATCTTGTTTGGATAACCTAACACTGAATAATTGAAAAAGTTCCATTTCACTAAATGCATTAGGTCAGAAGCATCAAAAAGCTAGTTAAGTTTCATTATTTTTGAAATACAACTTGATTTATGTTTGAGGTTATATAAATCTTTAAATCAACACTGTGAAAGAAGATATGCAACTGCTTAAAAAGTCATCACACATGAGTTAATTTATTTAAAAATGTTAGAATTTAATATGAGATATTCATTGGATTTTTCAGAATACATGAAGTAAAATAAGAGAAATTTTGAATAATTATGGGTGCTAATCACTATATTATGGATTTTTAGACAAACACTATATTAATTTGAGACATATTCAAGTTCTAAACATTCCCAGTTTAAAATGATTAGAAACTTTCTTAGTCAAATGGGAACAATTCTTTTGATTAGTAATTAGCCCTGTTTCCAATCTCAGTTCTATCTTCTGCTAATCAGTGAGCTGATTTAGCTAGCCCGGGAATCTTTCCAGGATTCAGTTTACTCAAATTTACAACAGTATTGAATCAAATAGTCTCTGGAGATTCCTTACAGCTCTAACATGTTCTGTCCCAGAACAAATACTAGAGAAAATGGAAGGAAGGGACTGCTGAAAACATATTATCTTATACTGCTAAAGAGTGCTGAGGAAAAAAATGTAAAAAACAATTCTGGTTGACTGTCAAAGTTTGAATACAAATATATTTCAAAGCATTATAGGCATCATTCATAATAAATGTTAAGAGATAGAGACTATATCTAGATGATGAATATGTTCAATTTAATAGAAAACATAACTGATACTATTGACTTTTTAGCCAACCCTATGTAGTTTATTTAACTTATTTGGCTGTATATATTTGATTCCTTAGAATCTAATTATAACTTAGCCTCCATGTTGAAGTGTTACACAACACTGCCCCAGAAAGTCCTAAATTTCCACATAAAACAAAGTTTGGTTATTTTTCAACACAGACTTCCCTTAGTTGCAGATTACCTAACTAGATTCATTATCTCTTTTACCAGTACCATTTTACATTATAAAATATTTACATTATTTTATATTGCTTAGATGTAAAAATTCATCTTTTCTAAATTAAAATTAGAAAAAATCTTCCTTTAAAGCATATCATGTGGATGCTAAACTTTATTTGAGGTAGTAAGAAAGATGACAGAGGTAGCAAGAAAGAGGATCATGGTGTTCCTAACATTTAAATTCTTAGCTAGAGATGGATAACAGGAATTCAGTTTTATTGGGTCAAAAGGAGAGATGCAAAAAAAAGACAAATTATTCTTTTTTCTTTCAGAATATTTCCAATAAGACACTTCAAAAAACAGACTTCTAAATTCCCTAGTCATTTTGCTCAAAAACATCATCAAATGCTTACATTGAACTTATTCATGTTTTTTTCTTAATTATGAAACATTGCTTTTAGCCTGGTACATTATTATTTATCTAAGGATTTAAGATTAGTTAATCTTTTAAATTTTATATTTTTCTGGAAATCTTAGATTACAGTGCCCCAAATTTCTGAAAATGGAGCCATAAATTTTATTTCCAGTTCTCCCCCTACTTACTGCTTTGACCTTATGAAACTAATGATCCTAATTACACTTACTTTTCTGTGAGAGGGTTATAGCAAACTAGATAGTCTCTTTACTTTCATTTCTCTATTTTATTGATTCACTTAAGACAGCATTCTTGGGTTCCAAGACTAGTCTGAGCTAACTTTATTTTCTCTTCTACATGTTAAAATGCTGTCTATAAGTGCTGAAATGCAAATGTTTATAGCATCCTAATCCACATTCCTTTTTCTGTATTTTTGTATACCCTTTCTTACATTTAGTATTTTGAACATTATGTTCTTTTCAGAAAATCATGATTAGTTGACAGGATTCTGTAATGTGGTTGTCATTAAAAAGGAAATGAATGTGTTTGGCATTTATTAATAAAGTCACTATTTAGAAAACTAATAGAAATATTTACCAAATATTAATACTCCGTTGATCTATTATTACTTTCCTTATTATCATCAATCATAAAAGAATGGTCTTTTAAACAGGTGATTTGATCACAAAGATCATTTGCTAAATTTATTATTACATGTTATCCATTCAAAATTTCTACATAGTCTACAATGTGAATCACTCAATTGATCAGTGCCTCATTTTATACAACTGGCATTTGATAAAACTTCTAATTAATTACATCATTATAAGCATGGTATCTTTCCATAAGACAGTAATAGGTAAGGTGCCAGAGAGCATTTAATGAATTTAGTTCTATATTTTACAGCTGGTTATACCATTATCATAATGTTAAATTAATAAAATAGTTGAAGATATTTAATAGCTAAATTCTCTATACAACTCTCAAAATCAAACTCACATTTGAGTTTAATATGAATGATGTTTTCTCACCTACTCTTCCAGTAGCTTTGGTCTAAGTAGAGTTGTTCATGTTCTTATATTTAAAGAATTCTGAAGATATTGTTTTCTCTATGTACTAGTATATATTACCTAATGGATATTGCAAAATATCATTATTGCAAATTAAAATTGTATTTTATTCCTTTAAAACAATAATAAGCTAAAGAATAACCTCATTGAACACTGTTATTCTTATTGTTTTATACTATTGTCCACTAGTTGTTTAAATGTCAAAGACCAAAGAGTGGGATTTCTATTGTATTTAACTACTACTCTGCTTCTTCTACTAATTTTTGCAGTGAATAGGAGGGCTTATCATTGTAACATAAGATAGTAAACATCCTCCTTACAGGATTCTGAGCAGTAGGTCATTAATTAATGCTTTCTTTTTTGGAAGGACAACTTGGTTAGTGTGCTCCAATTACCTTTTCTATGTGCATAATAAACTCCTTGATAGTCATAAAAACAACATATACAGAATATACCCCAAAATGAACGCAAGATGGATTTACTCTGCTGACTTTAAACTTTCATTGCTTGCTAAAAATTCTTTTAAGGATATAATTAATTTGAAATACTTTTAGAACCAGAGGGCTACCTTTTAAGTGTTAATTGAAAAGGCTCCACTCTTTGGGAAAGTCAATGAAAAATTTATAAGGAAATGAGGTATAATGAACTATAATTATTTTTGTTCTTGCAGTCTTAATATCTCACTTATTTGAATATTTATAAATAAAAGCCTAACAGGGTTAAAGATGTGCAAGGATATTGACAAACAATGGAGATATGTAATTTCAGGTTTGAGTGTCTCATTATTTATATAATTCTTTAAACCAGGTCCACTATTCATTTATTTTGTTTTGTAATTTTCATGTAAATGTTTTCTTGTATATATAGATATATATATAAAAATGGAACTATTTTCTTACACATACTATGCAATGTTTGTAAAATTGCAATATTACCAAAATTACAAAAGCTGTGCTTTTGTACTCTATCTTGCTTTATGTAAAATCAATCTTTTTGTATTTAAATGGACTATCTGTCCCATAAACTGTAGATAACATATCTATTCAAAAATCAGTCTATTGTATCTTTTGTTTAGTTTGGGGTCAAATGGTTTATATTTCTTTGGGAAGAAGATGCAGCAAAATTTGGCAGTTGGAATTTTTTTTTCTCAGAAAATGAAAACTTTGAAGCATGCAATGAGCTCATATAATTTAAGATCTCTCCTGTAATTCTTGTACTTGTCCTAATTTTGGTGCTACTGTGTAACCATGATTAAATGTGATAGTCAAAACAAAGATCAGAACTCATAATTTATTTTATTGAGAAAAAATGTTCAAAAAGATAACTAATGAATATTCAGTGAAGAGACCTTTTTCAATTATGTTTTAAATATCAACTCTACTAACATGTATGCTTTAAAAAAATTTAGTTTAATCTATTAACACTTTGTAAAGATGCTTCTCTTAAAAATATGAACATATTGTTTCTCTTAAATATAT